GTGGTGGTGGTGGCGGTGGTGTGCGTAGCGTATGGCGCCGTATGCTGCATGCATGCAATATTGCATTCTGTCGTAGGATCGAGGAAAAGCCACTCTTGCCAGGACTGGGCCAGGGTAGAAAGCCTTTTGTGGAGTGTGTGACACGGGATATGTCATGTGATATTAGATCTGGTCGGACATATCATAATATCAGTGATATCTTATATCAGTGATAGTGATATGTATGTCGCGCCAATCTGGCGGATAGCACGAAGCTCATGGACTGTACGGTATGGTATGGACGGTGTATGGTGTACTGTAATGATTCAGTAATGGTATGATTCGCTAAAATAATATGTTTTATGATATACTGATGTAAGCAGTGAGTCAGCTTTTCAACTCATAGAGCCGTCCTATCTTATCCAGTCTTTTTATCTTTCGGCTGCCTCGGCTACCAATCTTAGGCAGTTGTGGGCGCGTGTTTGTGCCGAGGGCAAGGGTGCCATCGCTGTGGAAGATTTGGTGTCAGAAGCCAAGAAAGCCTCGGAGGCTCTCATGGATCTGCTCGTCGCCCTCGGCGAGGATGGTGAGGGCGGTGCAGAAAAGGCGGCTGCCATCAAGGAGAAGGCAGCTGCCTGCAAGAATGTGTCAGAGCTCTGTCGCGAGTTGGAGGGGTTGCAGCAGAACAAGGACGTTCATGCAGACATGTGCTCCCGCTTGAAATTGGTGGAGGAGTTTTGCCACAATGGTATCAGAGATGTCGAGATCGCAAAAGAGGTCCTGAACATGTTGTGGCAAGACGAGGCTGCGTCGCTCGTGCTTGCGTCGGATCCGGCTCAATGGAGCGATCGATCCAACGATCCCGGGTGCAACGGCTGGTTCGAGCGTTTGGAAACCGTGTGCCACTCGCTTTCTCATTCTCAGCTTAGTGCTTAGTGGTCTGTTTAAGCGGCTAAGTTGGCGAAGCGTGTTGGCTTGTCACTGGGCCGGGGTAGGGTGGGGTGGTGGGGTCCTTCCTTCTTCCCAGCAATTCACTTCCCAACGGACATGCCGCTCAGGTTGCATGCTGAAGATTATCGGCGACAACAAGCACCCGGCTCCCATGGCAGTGGAGTTTGTGAGGAAGTTGCAGGCCTTCCACCAGGCCAGTCAAGCAGCTGCAATGCCCGATGCCCTCCAGCAGGCCTGCCAGTTGCTCAATGACTTGCAGGGGGTCTGCGAGAATCTGGATGGTGGAGACTTCGGCCCTCCTGCTCGGGAGTTGCTGCAGCGCCTTGAAAAAGTCATCGATGCCAAGGGCAAGCAGTGGGTGCAGCGGTTGATCACGGAGAAGGGAGGCGAGGCTGCGGCTTGCGTGGCGCGTGAGGTCCTCAAGACGCCCACTCCCTTCCTTGATGGGTGCATCGGGACCATTGCTATGACGTATGATGCCTCAGCTCAGAACATCGATGAGGTCGACACAACAGCCGCAGCCGAATCCTTCACAGCTTTGGCCGCGTTGATGCCGCTCTTCGCCAAGCTATGCTCAGTTCAGCAAGAGTTCCTGCCGCCCGAGAAGGTCACCAGTTGCGACCGCTTTGTGACCAAGATCACGGCAGTCATGGCTGAGTTGTTGGGTGGGTTCAACAACAGCATTGGGCAGCTGAAGCAGCTTGCAGAGAAGTACAGGCAGACGACTTCAGTCTAATCTAGTGCTGTAGGCTTTTGGCTATAGGCTATAGGTTTTGGGTTTCAACAAACGGGTTTTGTGTGGCTCGATTTGGGCAGGCCCGTCAGAGGTGCCGCTGCCAAGTGGGAGATGGAGCCGGTGAAATGGATGTTCACAGGTGATTCCGACGTTGACGCTGACACGCAGATCATGTTGGAGCTTCGTTCCGAGTTGATCGAAATGTGCAAAGGCGCAGAGAAAGTCATCGCCATCGGCACCGGGGCTCGCATCGCTGAGCCGTTCAAGGCTTTGTGTGATCAAGCCACCGCCCTATGCAAGGATATGAAGGACCGGCTTTCGGGATTGTCGGGCAGCGTGCAGCGTAGCGGGGTCCATGTTGAGAAGTGCATCGTGTTTCATGTCATCATTATATGAATCATGTCGTATATAAAGTTATATATAAGTGTCGCCCGTCCCTCGGGCTCCCACGGGTGGTGTAGGACCTCCGGCAAGATGTGGCCCTCAGCGTTGGCACGATGATGGCTGCTGACGTCCTGCTCAACCCGAAGCACACCAACCCCAAGGCCACCATCGAAAAGTCGATGCGCTTCGTGACGAGCACTTTGGGCGTGACGCATGCAGACTTGGAGAACATTTCCCCCAAGCTCACATCGCAGCTCGCCCAATTCAAGGATGAGCCATCCGACAAGAAGCGGGCGAAGCCGGCTGAGCCGAAACCCGGCAAGTCTTCTTCGCATCTTGTTCGCTTTTGGCATGGGCATGTTTCGGACCTCTGGTCAGTGAGTGAGTCAGTGAGTGATTGAGTGAGTGAGTG